CTGCTTTGATTCCTTTGATGAAATGCTATGTATCTTTAGGCTCTAAACTAAATCCAAATCTGCAATTTACTCTGAACATCACAAGACACACTGTAACTTCTCACTGCTCTGCAAATTTTACAGCAGGCTTTGGTTAAATAGCACAAAATCTGACCTGTATAAAATGTATAATAAATTAGCTAGTATAAGAACTTTAAAGGTATTTTTTTTTCTAGTGAACTCATAATGCAGAATGCATGTAAGTTTGCAAAATGTAAGTTTGGATTTGTATTATTTGTATTACTTAAGAAAGTAATCTCAAACTTTTCTCTGATTTCAATAAGCAGAGATAGTTATAAGGACAGGGTAGAAGGTTCACTTAACTATAAACCTAGGAAAAAAGAAGTAAGAGAATGGTAGATTAGATAAAGACTTTGCGGTCTCAGCAAAGCAATGAAATCCAGCAATGCAGTGAAGACACAATATCTAATGGTACCCTTCCCCATTCACACATTTGGAGCCTTATATTATACCAAAAGGTCCACACAGAGAAGCTGGTCAAGATTCTGGCAAACACATAAACTGTTCTAGGTTCCAACAGCCCAGTGCGCTTCTCAATTGAACACTGGTCTCAACAGCAGAAGCAGATGCAATGTAAAAACTCTTTCAATGTCTCAGAGCCCAGAGAGGGAAAATGAATATGTAATATGCTGGGTGCTAGTCAAAGGAAACGTTAAGGCTAATGTTTCAGCTGTTTGACTCTGAATAGGGTTCACATTTTGATGTATTATAAACGTCATGCAGTACTTAACTGCATTTAGCCAAAAAAGTATTCAAATAGAAAGCCTAAAAAGTAAAAAGAATGTTAGCATACCAGTCATTTTCAAAACAAAACAAGCGTAGATGGAAAATGTGCTGATTATAACAAGGTAGTTTCTTTTAAATCCACTGGATATGTGTTACAAGTAGGAACCATGACTATACTTGATTAAATTACTCTGAGTCACACAAAATAAAAAAGCTAGTTGTTGTTTGCATGGATCTCCCTTAAGTTAAACCAGATTTTCATTTTTGAAAGCTGATAGAGCTGAATATTGCTGCCACAGGGGGGAAGAATCAAACAAGTCATTGCTAGCATAGATTATGAGGATCACTTGAGTTATGTTTCTGTTAAGTTCCCACAATCAACTGATATTCTTCAGGGACAATAAAAGCTTACACAGAACTCTGCTAGAATTAACAGGTTCTTCTCTTCAACAGGTAGCTTGCAAATTTAGGTACAGATATTTAATCCACAGACTCATCTTCAAAAAGAGAAAAACAAGCCATTGCATAAGCATTACAGTAGTAGTCAAAAAAATTCTATCATTAATGCCACTTAGTACAAGCTCAGAATTTTAAATAATGGGAGCAAACCTATGTATCTATTAAGTTTTTCTGTTTGTTTGTTTTATTTTTTCTGGAACCCAGCTCTCCAACAAAGGATTTGAGGAGAAATATATCAGCTAGCTTTCTTGGTCGCAAGCAACACTGACTGACTGAACAGGAAATGTATTGGGGGACAGTCCTGGGTACACAGAACTGAGAACAGGCTAAAAGTCCAGGCTTAACAAAGGACGGAAAAAAATGAGAGGCCATGCTACAGGCATGACAGGGTCCTTGACACAGGACAGGAAGAATCTTGCGGATGCACCAGTGCTGTGAGGGCTGACCTGCAACCTTCCCTCCATTCTGCTTCCCTTCTTTCCATCTCTTTACCCTCGCTTCACTCTAAGGGCTCAAAACCCTGGGAAATAATATATTGATTAGCTGAGCTCATCATCACTGACCTATCTGACCTGGGGCAGGACAATGAAGGATCTGACTTCCGTGTTTGGAGACCATTTCCTAAAAGGAAATCAGGTGAAATGGGTGGGAAACAAAGTGTTTGGTTAGAAAAGGAAGGGCTTTGAGTCGAGTTACACTCTCTGTTTTGAAACAAATTCCAGGTGTGGATGCATATTACTGCTCATGGATGAATTAAAAAAAAGGAAAATGCTTGGACTTACAGACAACAATATAAAGAACACAGAACTAAAGGGTAATTAAAAAGCATAGTTAAAACCAAGCATTTGAAGCCAGAAAAGAACAGGCTCCACACCATCGAGAACAATGTGAGGTGGGAAAGAAAACAAAAAACCTTGAGAAAAACCACACATAATGCAGTAAATATAACCAAAAAATTAAAATTAAAATGCATATGCCAAAGAGAGACCAGAGACTTAGCAATTAGATAACTGAATTCTAAAACAAATTAAATAAAACCAGTAATTAATTAGTAAGAGCAAAAAAACATAAGCTGAAAAATATTCTGAATTGATAGATGGAAAATTTAATAAGTTATACATACCCAGATATATGGCAAAAGTTTGGAATTTTAGGGATCAATGGCACTGTTTCTCAAAAATCTAAAGAATAAAAATTGTGCAGTCCATATTCTCTGACCACAAGACATTAAAACCACCTTTTAACACCTAAAGTATAACTGGGAAAAAAATAGGAATTTGAAAATTTTCCTAACATACTCAAGTCAAAGAGAAAACAATACATTCAGAATATTTAGGAAAAAAATAACATAAAAATGTGAAAGCTAATAAGAGCAGTAAAAAGGCAAACACAGAGGGAGAAATGCTCCTTGTTAAAATAAATCAACTGGCCCATTTAGCATTAGTAAAAAACAGGTAGAAGGAATTAAAAGCAGAAAAGTCAAGAGTAAATACCAGTAAAATAAATATAATAGTTTTTTGGGGGTACAAAAACCAACAGAAATAGTAAAAGCTTTAGGTGATCTAATTAAGATGAAGAAAAAAATCAGGTTCCCCCAAATAATAAGAAAACAAACAAAAACAAGCAAACAAAATAACTACAGATGCAATAAAATCTTAAAATCTGAACAATCTGAGTAAAACACTATAAAATTATAAGAAACTATGAAGTATTATTTGTACTCAAGGAGCAATATAAGACCTAGACAGACCAGAAAAATCTGTTTTAATCTCTAAACTTAGTAAAAGAAAAAATATGTATAGACAAACACCAATTCCGCAGGGTTTCACAGGGCAGTTCTGAATTTTTGAAACACTACAAACCAGTAGGTAACTCGATTTAAACGAAGGATTTGTGTGTGTGTGTATGTTAACCTAAATTAGCTGCTAACATTTCAACTTAAAAAGTCAAGACATTTTATGTAACATTTTAGAATTCCAGCTTGTCAAGAATAACTGGAAGAATATCCTGACAACTCTGGTTCCCGCGGCCACACATGGCAGGAGTGGAAGAAGGGGTAGTCCCTTTGGGTGTGGCAGTTACTCCTGGTACATTCAGGATCCTCAGACTCTACAGCCTTCAGTTATGGCACCTTCCTGGCCACTCTTATAGCGTTTTAAGCATGCTCTCGGT